CTGGCAGATTACGGCCTCCCATTGCTGCTGCCAGGCCCGTAATCTGCCATGGGCCCCTGACCGCCTCCCTTCATGCTGCTGCCACGGTCCAGAGTCTCTCATGGGTCCCTGTAACGGCCTCCCATTGCATGCTGTCTCCATCGCCACACTCTGCCATGTGCCACTTTCAGGTCTCCTCACACTGCTGGTGGGTTCCATTTTGGTCATAGGGTGCTGGCAGATTACGGGCCTCCCATTGCTGCTGCCAGGCCCGTAATCTGCCATGGGCCCCCTGTACCGCCTCCTCATGCTGCTGCCAGGTCCAGAGTCTCTCTCATGGTCCCTGTAACGGCCTCCCATTGCTGCTGTCTCCATCGCCACACTCTCTGCCATGTGCCACTTTCAGGTCTCCTCACACTGCTGTGTTGTTCCATTTTGTCATAGGGTGCTGGCAGATTACGGGCCTCCCATTGCTGCTGCCAGGCCCGTAATCTGCCATGGGCCCCTGTACCCCCCCCTCCTCATGCTGCTGCCAGGTCCAGAGTGTGTCATGGGTCCCTGTACGGCCTCCCATTGCTGCTGTCTCCATCGCCACACTCTGCCATGTGCCACTTTCAGGTCTCCTCACACTGCTGGTGTGTTCCATTTTGTCATAGGGTGCTGGCAGATTTACGGCCTCCCATTGCTGCTGCCAGGCCCGTAATCTGCCATGGGCCCCCGTAACCGCCTCCTCATGCTGCTGCCAGGTCCAGAGTCTCTCATGGGTCCCTGTACGGCCTCCCATTGCTGCTGTCTCCATCGCCACACTCTGCCATGTGCCACTTTCAGGTCTCCTCACACTGCTGTGTGTTCCATTTTGTCATAGGGTGCTGGCAGGCTGGTGTGTTCCATGTTGTCATAGGGTGCTGGCAGATTACGGGCCTCCCATTGCTGCTGCCAGGCCCGTAATCTGCCATGGGCCCCTGTACCGCCTCCTCATGCTGCTGCCAGGTCCAGAGTCTCTCATGGGTCCCTGTACGGCCTCCCATTGCTGCTGTCTCCATCGCCACACTCTGCCATGTGCCACTTTCAGGTCTCCTCACACTGCTGGTGTGTTCCATTTTGTCATAGGGTGCTGTATGGCCTCCCATTGCTGCTGCCTCCACCGCCACACTGTGGCTCCACACTCTGGTTTTGGCCCCGTGACTGCCCAAATGAGTGAAGTGTGCGGTGATTCTAAGATCGACGGCACTCATCTGCATGTCATTCTGACTGACAGTATTATTTCTCTTCCCCAGCAGACTCCAAGGGCATTTAAATTAAAGGTACAGTGTTCTGCACTAATATAAAGGCTCTCTGAAGCCTAGAAACACCCTTTTTGTAAGTTAAATTCGCAGCGAATATATTCGCATCGAATCAAATTTATTCCTCGAATTCGCCGAATCAGCCGAATCGAATTTTTGAATACTTCGCTCATCTCTACTCTTAATACAAGAGAGGATTTTGCTTGCTTTAGAAACTGCAGCTTGTCATTGCATGTCATTATTAAGCTTGTGATCTACCAGAACTCCCAGATCCTACTCCACCATTGATTCCCCCAGTTGTACCCCCTCTAGTATGTATGATGCATGCATATTCTTAGCCTCCAAGTGCATAACTTTATATTTATCAACAATAAACCTCATTTGCCACATAGTTGCCCAATTATACAGTGCATTGAGGTCGGCTTGTAAGTTGAAGACATCCTGTAAGGACGTTATTCCACTGCACAGTTTGGTGTCATCTGCAAAGGCTGAAATGGGATTTTTTAATCCCAGACGCTATGTAGTTTATAAATATATATTAAAAAGTAAGGGTCCCAACACTGAACCTTGGGGTACACCACTGACAATCCTAGACCATTCAGAGTATGAATCATTAACCACCACTCTCTGAATACAATCCTTTAGCCAGTTTTCTATCCATTTACATACAGATTTTTCTAAGCCCGTAGACTTTACCTTACACATTAGCCATGTGTAGGGAACTGTGTCAAACACTTTTGCAAAATCCAGCTATACCACATCCACAACCACAGCTACCCCTCTGTCCAAGGTTTTGCTTACCTCTCATAAAAAGAAATCAGATTCGTTTGACAACTTCTGTCTTTCATGAATCCATGCTGTCTGTTGCTTAAAATATTTTTTTCTAGCAAGAACTCATCCATGTGGTCTTTTATTACACTCTTCAGTATCTTCTCAACTATAGACGTTAAACTAACAGTTCTATAATTACTTAGTAAAGATTTTGAATATAGGCACCATATTGGCCTTACGCCAATCCAGTGGTACTTTGCCAGTCTCTAAAGAGTCCCTAAAAATGAGAAACAATGGTTTTGAAATGACAGACCTCAATTCTTTAAGGGTGTATGCCATCCGGTCCAGGTGCTTTATTCACCTTTATTCTGTCTAAATATTTCTGGATCATATCAGTTGTGAGCCAATGTGGATCATCTGGAGCTGTGTCAATACCATGCCCATTATGGACAAGAGCTCCCCCATGCTCCTTTGTATACACAGAGCTGAAGAAGTTATTTAATAAATTTGCCTTCTCTTTGTCCCCAGTCACCCACTCTAGATTATTTTGTAAAGGGCCTACATGCCCAGGCCAGACCTTTTTACTATTAATATATTTGAAGAATTTTTTGGGGTTTGTCCTACTATCTTTTGCTATCTGTCGTTCATTTTCAATTTTTGTGGCCTTTATTTCCTTTTTGCATATTCTGTTATATTTTTTATAATGTTTAAATGATGATAGTGTTCCTTAATTTTTATATTTAATAAAAGCTTTTTTATTATTATCTATAGCTTTTTTAACTTTGGCCGTAAGCCACATAGGTTTGATTTTTAGCCTTTTAAACTTGTTGCCCATGGGAATATATCTTGCAGTATGTTCACATACAGTCTTTTTGAAGAACTCCCATTTCTGTGTTGTGTTCATCGATGCCAATATTCCCTCCTAGTCTAAATCTTGGAGAGCAGCTCTCAGCTTTGGAAAATTAGCTCTTAAAGTTGAGCGTTTTTATTTTTCTTGTATGTGCTTGTTGTTTACAGCTAGCAATAAATGAAATCATGTTATGGTTACTGCTACCCAGATGTTCTTTTATATGGACATTCGTAATAAGCTCTGCATGGTGTGAGATTACCAGGTCCAGCAGAGCATTATTCCTAGTTGGGGCCTCTAAGAACTGTACCATAAAATTGTCCTGTAGTAGGTTATACATTTTTGCCCTTTAACTGTTCCTGCAGTATAATTACTGCAGTCAGTTTCTTGGTAGTTAAAATCCCCCATTATTATGACTGTCCCAGCCCTTGCCGCCCTTTCGATCTGTGCAAGGAGCTGAGTCTCCACCTCCTCATTAACACTGGGAGGCCTATAACAAACTCCAATTATTACCTTTGTAATAAGCACCCCCATGTGCAGTACCCATAATGCTTCAGCCTCATCACACTCTCCATCAACTAGGTCCTCTTTCACATTCGCTCTGAGATCGCTTCTCACATAGAAACAGACACCACCACCTTTCCTTTTTACCCTGTCTCCCCTGAAAGAGAACATAACCAGGAATATTAATGGCCCAGTCATGTGAAGAATGAAGTCAAGCTTCATCAATACCAATTAAATCATAGCTCTCTTCATGCACCCAAGCTCCCAACTCACTTATTTACTTGGCAGACTTCTTTCATTGGTGAGCAAACACTTTATTTCATTGACACCTTGTGCACACATATTTTTAATTTTCATACAAATGGTACCAATTCCAATGGTTGTTTGTAACATGGGAACCTTCTTATCATCTGCCATAGCCCTCTCCCCCATCTTTCCCCATTCCACCCACCAATAAGGACTGACCCCTGTCTGATCTGTCTACCTCATTATAATCTAACTCTCATTCCCCCTTGATCCTAGTTGAAATACTCCTCCAGCCTCCCCATAAACCTCTCCCCCAGCACAGCAGACCCCATTTCATTTAGGTGCAAACCATCTCTAGCATACAGGTTGCACCCCAATGAAAAGTCAACCCAGTGCTCTAGAAACCAAAATCCATCCCTCTTACACCTTTAGTTGTGTAATCTACCCCTTTCTTTCCTGAGTTGCACATGGCACAGGTAATATTTCAGAGAATATCACCTTGGAGGTCCTTCCATTCAACTTGCAGCCTAGTTCTTTAAATTGATTCTTAAGGAGCCTCCACTTCCCATGTATTATGTAATTGGTTCCAACATGAACCAAGACAGCTGGGTCATGTCTAGCCCCTCCCAGTAATTTATCAACCCGGTCCACCACATGCTGAAACCTGGCACCAGCGAGAAAGCAAAACATTTGGTTGAGGCGATCCTGGCGACAAAATATTCTCAATTAATTATTATCAGTCCTTCTGATTATAGAATCCCCTACTACCACACCAACTTTATAGGCCTTCCTGCACTACCCTAACCACCCCTTCCAGATGGTCTGCCCTCCGGGCTGTTGAGGATAGCAGTGACATCCAGGGCTGCCACCCCTGAGCTTGCCACCCACACATCTCCACCCAACTTTGCAAATCTGTTTGGGTGCAAAAACCCAGGGCAGGCCTTCCTTTTCTGTGAGCTTCTACCACTCCCTCTCATTACAGTAACCCATCTTCCTACCTGATAGTCTTGATTAGCCCCTCCACCCTCCACATCAATCCCATTAGCTACCTGCTCAGAAAGCAGAACACCCCTTTCAACTTGAGGTTGTCGGTTCTGCCCAGTGTTTCAACTTGCTCCTCCAGATCTCTAACGTGAGCTTCCAGAAGGGAAACCCACTCACATCTGTCATAGCAGTATCCATCCTGGAGCTGTTGCTCCATTGTTGTATACATGCAGCACACTGTGCACTGCACAAAACCTTCAACCCTTCTAGCACTCATATCCCAGGTACAATATTAATATCACTAAAAGGAAATATCAGTTGTTACTTACAGGTTAGTAGACTCCTGTTATAATCTCCTGTTTTCCACTCCGTTTTTTTAACTCCACTTAATCAAATGTCCACTTTGTTAAAGGTCCAGCAAGCAAAATACAGGCAAGCTCAGAGTTAGCTCTATGCAGGCCATAGACGGGTCGTTTATCGGCCAAATTTTCGTCAGCACGAAGAATCAGCCGATATTCACGTCATTAGTGGGGCAATGGCGTCGGCTGTTTTTCGTGGATCTTTTTGTTTCTTTTTATCAGTCATGCTGGGAAATCCATGAAAAACTGACGTTTTTTGTAGACATTGGTGGCAGCATCGGCAACGATCGATTTTTCGTTTCTCGGACCACAATTCGGCCAATAAACGGCCCGTCTATGGCCAGCCTTACAGAAAGTTATATACTACCTGTATCACCTGTGACCAATTAACCCCTCCCCTTAATTAGCAGACTGAAGGAAGGCAGGAAAGGAAGAAAAAAAATGCTATTTAAAAAGTGACATAAAAAGTTATTTAAAAAAGTAAAAGCTTCTACCAATACCCAAAGAAGAAAATAAAACAACTACAAGCACCAGCAACCACCAGCAGTGAAAAGTAAAACTGTTTTTTACTCTTCAATCAAATTTCCCACTCTTTTTTGCTATCAGCCAGCAAAAAGTGCCAGACTAGACATCATTTAACCTGGAAGTCGGATGACAACTGTGGAAACAGAATGCAGAGAACAGAACTGCGGCATGGAGAAGGTAAGTAGTGCATTTACAACACAAATATAAGATGTAAGAGTGCAAAAGGATAACAGGGATTTGATAACAAGTCTTCAAATGCACATAAGGCTCAAAGCTTACCTGTTTGTGGTTTTTGTTTTTCATTCAGGTATGGCTATAATTGCAAAACACTTTATACATTAGGCCCAATTCACACAAGACATGAGCATAGTCAAGCAATGTTAGGGTCTTTTTTTGCATGTATGTGCTTTTTTTCACACATTTTTATATGTGATTTGAGAGGGACAGATTTGAGTATTTTTGGCCCCATAGACCTTTAAATGGGGGCACCTGAAAACCACTTGTGAAAATGCATTTTAAGGGGTTTCCAGATGCTCCTATTATGTCTATAGGGCCAAAACACTCAATTCTGCACCAATAGAAGCTCATGTAATGTTTTGTGCTTCATGTGACAGGCAACAAAGTGCTAAAGTGTAAACAGGCCTATTGAGAATAATGGGATTTTTCATCTTGAGCTTCAGAAATTAAGCAACAGAAATTTGCCCACATATTAATCATTTTATTTTGTTCAATCAGCAGGCTGAACAAAAAAAAGATCCAGTTCCCCCATCTACACATTCAAGCTGGATTGAGGAATTCCCCCCTCCCACAATGTGATATTGTGTTCTGATGGCAGGGAGCCTTCCATTACATTTTCAGTTGTATCTGTGTCCATGTGCAGAGTGCATCTGTATGGGAGTAGTTTTATCATTATCAATCAACTGCTGCACCTGCAGGACTCTAATGAGGAAATTGGCAGGGTTTCTATCCCTGTAGACTTGATTTCCCCTTGAGAGTGTCTCACCAAAAATTAAATTTCTGTTGCAGGGAATGCCAAAAATGTGACTTGTATCTTAGACCCCGGCCACATCAAGCTTGACTTTGAAATTGTGCGACTTACAGTGAAGTCGCACGATTTCAAAGTCGGGGGACATGACGATTTTAGGTGCGATTTGCAAAACATCTGACACAGATGTCTATGCAAATCGCACCAAAAGTAGTGCATGTACTACTTTAGAAATTGGTGCGGCTCTGACCAAGTCGAAACTGCATCGATATGAGCGCTGTAATTGTGGACAATAGGGTGCAACTTGGCATATGTTTTGCAAGTCGCATGGCATGCAAATCACATGCCAAGTTGCACCCAATGCAACCGGGGTCTTAGTGCAGACTAAAAAATTTGTAAGCCAATCACTCAAGCAGGAAATGACATTTTCAGGGGGCGTTCTGTACACAGATTGTAGCAATATTGCATTGCATTTTACAGAAAATGACAATGCTGCAAATTGAAAAGGAAAGGACATTTGTAACAACATTCAATTGCAATATGACTTGAGTCACCCTTGTACACTATAATATTATTATTTTCCTATTTTTTTTTTTTCATGAAAGCGGGGTTACCCTATAAGCAATTTTCTTTCCTGCAACCACGGGTTGCAGGAAAGAAAATTGCTTGATTCCCCCATCAACACATTCAGTGTAGATGGGGGGAATTCCTGCTGAAGAGCTTTTGTATTCTGACAGCTTGTGAAAAGAATAAATAGTCTGCCTAGTAAAGGTGACTGCTGATTAGTTCCTGCACTGTGGCGTTGCTCTCTGCTTTTCTAAATGAGCCTAATGGTTTCACATCATCCTGGGAGTCACAGTTACCTTCAATGAGTTTATACCATCAAAAGCCTAATTTGTCTTTTATGTGAATGGAATAATACTTTCTACGTAGCAATGACTTACATATTTCTTTGTCCAAATATGATATTTTCTCTTTAATGTATACATTCATTGTATTAGAAATGACATGTGCATATGATAGCCCTGATAATGTTTTTCAGGTTGTAGATAATGATGGATGCTATTTCTATCCCATGCTTACAGTCCACATCGCTCTAAGTGTTTTCTCAGCTACATTTATTAGAATACCCTTTGCTGTGCATGTAGTTTTTTTCATTCGTTTACTGCAGAATGGTCTGTGGGGTCTTTTTCCTCTTGCATCAGCATGTGAAAGCAATAGCTTAGGTTTAAAAACATGACCAAAGCAATAATGCTGCTTAAAAAGGATTATCTAATATTAAGACTAGTGAAGCGGCCTTAAACATGATCTCTTTAATGTAAAGCAGAATAATGTAGTAATGCCCCCAAGTGGTTAAATCCTTGCTTGCATAAAGACAGTGAATGTTCGTGGCTACTTTTCTACAGATATTACAAACTGTAACAAAAGCCATAATTGACCTTCTTTTTTTCTTTCTTCCTGTGTGATTATGTATCTAAGTTAGATTTCTCAACCTGGGTGCCCAGGAACCCTGGGGTGCCTTGAGGTCTCTTCAGGGGTGCCTTGACAAACTGTCTTAATATTTCCCAGAACTTGTATGCAAGCCAGCAGGTGGAACAGTCCTGCCTTTTAGTTACACAAAGCCACAGGTTTTCATTATGCACCATTACGACCTTCTAGCCTCCGGCATCCTGACAACCAATGACATCATCAGTTGATAAGGAGGATGTCAGCATACTAGTTTGACCCTCTCCTGCCCCTCTCCATCAGTGCTGGGGTCACATTAGCTCAGTGATGGAGAAAAACTGAGGGAGAAGAGAAACATTGGAATACTGGACAGTACCACTGTGCAAAAGTGTATTTGCTTTGCAAGAATAAGTCACCTCTAATGTTGGGTGTCCTACATGTGTGGATGTTGCTGTGTTATATAAAACTATTAGAACAGGTCTTCACAATTTAGAATGGGGTGCCTCAGGACTGTCCATAATTTTAAAGGGTGTCTTGACTGAAAAAAGGTTGAGAAACACTGGTCTAAGTAATAAGGCATGCTATGGAAAAGGTTATATTTGGTAATAACTCTTAAAGTAAATCATGCTTTGCACATGCTGGGAAAGGCAGCAGGTTTTCTATAATGTTCCCCTTCCCGGCAACACATAACTCACTTTTTGTTTGCTCCCACCTTGCTCTGCTTCTTGGATTGAAGTAATACCCCGTACTTCCAGGTATGTAGGAGTTTGAAACTCACTCCTTGTGACAGCAATGGTGGTTGGTCCAGTACTATGCATGGAGGTAGGGAGAGTTCCCAGCCCTGAGTAAGCTCAAACTGGAGGGACTTCCATTGTGCACAAGGCTGACTGACTGGAGCTTAGAGGGATTCAAGGAGAGGTAAAATAAATTCTGCTAGGGTGGGGGCTATTAAAAGAGGATCTATTGCATTGACTTTTGTGTTTATCCTATTTATGCCACTATACAGCCTTAAAGCAGAACTTAACTGTATCTGAGTATCACAAACTACAAATGCTACTTAATTCACGTTTTCAATAATCAAAGCACACTCACCCATCCATCCATGCCTTCATGCTTTATTTTGTTGAGAAATATCTTTGAGAAACATTGTTTCTCAAAGATATTGGCCATGGCCATCTTGAGTAAGGACACATCATTCATGTAGCATTTATTTTAGGGAATCCATCTGTCCTTAGCTCAGGTATACAGGCAGGAGGGTGTGCCTAGCTGAGAAAGTCCCTCCTCCAGGTGAAAAAAAAATGCCCAAGAAGATTCCTAGGATGTATGACATCATATTGGCCTAGGCGAGAAACCAGGAAGCAACTGAAAAAATGTAAAAAAATAAAAAAATAAAAGTTTATAGCAAGTAACTATAATATACCTTCCTATCTATTAACTAATGATAGTAGCATAAAGATTAAAAATAGAGAATATTTATTGAGAGAGTTTAGTTCCGCTTGAAGGTATGCTAGGTGGTGTCAAAGCTGTATAGCCTAAACCATTTGTTCCCCAAGCAGTGATGTGTGAACCTCAGTGGGTATTTCTGATTGGTTCAAGGGCTATTTTTGTTTCTTGTAATATGCTTATAACAGCTAACAGCTGAAGTCTGGGAAATTACAAAATCATTAAATATGCCCCCAGCCAATAAAAGATCTATTGCTAGTTTTTTTTTTGGGAATCAGATAAGTATGAGGCGTACTATTAAACATAAACCACAGTCCTACAACAGCTGGTGGGTCCAGTCTCTTCTCTCCAGCACCGGAATATTTATTTTTATTTATAAAGGAATATAGGGAGATACTTCTCTATCAATGCAAGACTATCAGTTTCTAGAGGGACACAGACGAGACCTGTTGGAGGCCAACTTGGGGTAACATTACAACCCCTAAAGCAGTGGAAAGGAATAGGTCCCTGGTTTAAGGTAAGCAGGCAAGATCCTGTATCTGCTAGGGGAGAGGGGACACATTTATTGATTTCACTATTATCCAGGCTTCAAAGTTTGTAACAAATAGATTTTTAAAATGAACATGCCAGAAATATGTATGGGTAAAACTAAGCAATAAAAAGCATAATCATTTATAAATCAAATGCATATGCAAACATTACCTTCTATTAAACAGGAATGTTAAATATTTACAGTGAAACTTAGCTCCTCTTCCTTCTGTATACAGAATGTGCCTGCCAGTCAATTAATGTGGTGGACCAGAGGAGTAGCTAAGGGGGGGCAGGGGGATACATATGTATCTGGGCGCCAAGGTACAGGGGCGCCAAAATGAGGCTTACACAGAGGCGGGCAGTGGCTGCTGTGTCTTACCTGGCTCCGTGTCCCAGTCCCACAACGATCCAGTCCAGGAGGCGTTGCTGGAGGACTGGTAGAGAGGTCCGCAGGTCTTCTTTTCCCTGGACACAATGTGTGGGCGGGATGACATGCTGCCTCTGTCATCTGGCCACACCCTCGGGATCACTGGACAGCCTATGGCAGCTTGTACCTCCCTCTGCAAGCTCCGACTCCTCACCGGTGAATCGGCCCCAGAACTTTAGCTCAGGAAAGGCACACAGGTGGCCAATCACCTGCGAGGAGGCGGGGCTTGGAGAGGAGGAGCCAAGCCGAGTGAGGGAGCGGCCAGAGCAAGTGAAGAAGACAGCTGACCGGTAAGTGTGCCGTGCAGATGGTGCTGCTGCAACCAGGTATGCTGGCTGTGGATGGGAGAGGGAAGGAGCCTAGGCTGCAGCAGGGGTCAGCAAGGTAAGTGTCATTGGTGTCAGTGGGAGGAATAGTGCCCCATCATTGGTGTCACTGATATGATTAAACAGGGAGGGGGGGGGGGGCGCCATTTTTATAGTTCGTCCCGGGGCACAAAATATCCTAGCTACGCCTCTGTGGTGGACAGTCTAGCTGTGTAAAAGAGAGACCTGAAAGGCAGGAGGGACAGAGCCAAGAATGAATTTTAATCTGAGATTTGCCACCTATATATCTGGATCTAATAATTGTTTTCACAACAGTGATGGAATAGCAATGTAAATGATTAAATATTATTATTATTACTATGATGATGATTACCATAAATCTGTACACATTCATACAGGTCAGAGTACAGATTGTATCCTTGTTATGCACTGACCTCTTTTGTATTGTAGTTTGCATTCCTGTCTACAAGGGTGTGAGTGTTTCTTGTGACCCTTTGTTAAAATTAATGAGACATTGTGTAAGCTTGCATAACAACAAAGTCACCATGTGGTGCATTTTTATTGAATGGCAGCTGTACTGTCACATAAATGTGGATGCAAGTGAAAACATTGTTTCAGGCTAAAATGACAAGTAGATAGCAAGAAATAAAACTGATTCAGCATCAGGCATGTCAAACTGGTGCTTTTGGGATGCAAAGAATATGGATGTGTATATTGTTTGAGGTACTCAACCTGTTTAAAGCTGAAATTCACCCAAAAGGGGAAGTTCTGCTTATTTTGCATCCTATATGTCCTTTGGACGAAACGCGTCAACAGTAACGTCAGACGCCAAAAGTGACATCATCACGCTCACTGGAAGTGCAGCGGTGGCCATCTTGAGTTAGGTTCACAGGGTTTTTTTTAATCACGTGTTTGTAAGTAAAATGGCATATGAATAAATGTATATTTTAATGGGAGACTGTTGTACTATGGATCTTATTTGATGTTTTCCATTGGGGAATCTTGCCTGTTTGAGTAGTGGAAGAACTTATATGGATCTTTGATAAATGAAAAGTGCTTATTCTCAGATCTATTGGGTAAGGTGCATAGAGTGACTGGTTGTTTTTTTTTTTGGGGGGGGGGTCCGGATACCTTCTTGGGAGTAAGGATTGAGGGTCCTCCCCAGAAAAGACATCACAAATGAGGATTGAAGAGGAAGAGTTTGGAATGGTATATGAAGGTATATGAGTCTGCACATATTTTTTTAATGTGAGCACATTATTTGAATACCTCATTACACATATGAAGTAAATGCACACTACTCTATATAGCTTTTCTTTTATGTTTGAGCTTGGATATCTGAGAGAAAAATTTCTATCTTGAATTCAAAAGAGACATTGATTGAACAAATGCACTTTATTTGAACACAAAAGTGACATATGGAGGACATTTGAGCTGTTTTAACATATATATTTTACTCTGCTGGGTGGTTGGGATGTAGTACTTGGTGCGTTGATGTTTATTATTTATTATTTGAATCTTCCCCTCTCTTCATTAACATTTGGCAGTCTTTGGGAGGAGGGGGTGGGTACCTGGTTTTGACAGGTAACCCCTCCCACTTCTGGTCTCATTGCCTTGGAAATCCAAGCAGAAGTTCAGCCCCCCCTCCTCCCCCCGCAGCCTTTCCAGACACATCACAGGTCCCAGAAGACTGCAGGACCATTCACAAAGCGCAGTGTGCCTTGGGCATGCTCAGAAGGGTTCTCGTAGATCACAAGCTTAATAATGGCATGCAATGCCAAGCTGCAGTTTCTAAAGCGAGCAAAATCCTCTCTTGTATTAAAAGAAGTATAGACTGCAGAGAGAGAGATATCATATTACCCCTGTACAAATCATTAGTAATACCTCATCTGGAATATGCAGTTCAGTTTTGGGCTCCAATTCACAAAAAGAACATTGGGGAATTGGAGAAAGTGCAGAGAAGGGCAACCAAACTGATAAGAAGCCTGGATTCTTTCCTAGATACACAGAATATAACTGGATACTAACATTTATAGGTAAAATTGATCGCCTCTCGGGGGATCAGGAGGGAATTCTTTTCCCTGCAGGAGCAAATTGGGTCATGCTTTGCTGTTTTTTTTGCCTTTCTCTGGATCAACTCTGGGTATAGGATTATACGTTTTTTTTGTTTGTTTTCTTTTTATTGGTTGAACTGAATGGACTTTTGTATTTTTTCCGCCAGACTAAGTGTGTAACTATGTAAAAAGGAAAACAAGTGTAAAGCTGCAAAACTTCACTGCCAATTTCCCTTAGTTAAGATGCCGAATCCTGGACTCGAAGCCTATGAGACAGCGCTGGATCCCTGGAAAGCTAAGTGTCCTTATATTAAAAGTCAGCAACTATAGTTTTATAGCTGGTGACTTTTAATTTATTGGAGGGAAACTGGAGCTCCTATTCATTGAGACCCTGTCACCAGATCATTTGTTCAACAACAATCTTCCCATAAGATTATATGTGCATTTAACATTTGTCTGGCCTTGTTTACATAGATGGCAAAAGGGTGAAAAAAGAGGTAGTTGATCCGTGTTTTTATGGTCTTCCAACCACTCACCTAAAATCTATGATGGCAGCTGGAGGGGCTTGAACATATGTAAATGTAACTCAGCACATCAAGATTAATAGCTGGTAAATCATTAATAGAGAAGAAAAACACTGCAATTAAGCATTTAAAGTGTTACTAAATCGACAACAGTAAAATCAATCTGTATAGGCAGTAAAGCATGCTTGTTATATTTACTGTGGAATGTAAGGGATTAATCCTCCGCATTGTGTAAAAAGGATGTTTGATCTTGTCTTCT